GGATGGGGATGGAGGGCTTGGTTGGGTTGGCGCGGACGGCGGTTCGTTGACATGGGCCGCATGGCGTCGTGCCGGTGAACTCGGTGAGGAATGCTGGCCTCTTTGTACGAGGCGTGGCGGTTCGTTGACAACGGGCCGCATGGCGTCGTGCCGGTGAACTCGGTGGGGAATGCTGGCCTCTTTGTACGAGGCGTGGCGGTTCGTTGACAACGGGCCGCATGGCGTTGAGCCCGTGATCTCGGTGAGGAATGCTGGCCTCTTTGTACGAGGCGTGGCGGTTCGTTGACAACGGGCCGCATGGCGTTGAGCCCGTGATCTCGGTGGGGAATGCTGGCGCCGCCGCTTCGTACGAGGAGAATCGTCCTCCAAATCTTCATGGCTTTCATTGGAGAAGTCGCTGTCATTCCCCGAAGGACTCTGTACGTCCATTCCATGATCCTCGTCTTTGCCTGGGGTGTTGTCTTCTTCACCCGAATAGTCATCGTCCATTGTGGAATCGTCTTCGGTCGAGATTTCCTCGGACGAGCGACGTTTGGACGAGCCATCGCTCTCAATTCCGCGATCTTCTTCTGAACTTTCGCGTTCTCCATCAGAGGAACGATGTGCTTGTGCACTTGATCAGCACATACCTTGTTTATCTTGTCTTCATTCTGGAGCCACTTTTCAAATGTCGACACTTTAAAGCCGCGTCGAACACAAAACCGCTTCATAGTCAGGTCGCCTCCTTGAATTTCCCGCCACGCTCGTATTGCCTGTTGCTTCTCGCGGTACGAGCGATGAACTGGAGCACGCTTTGGCTGCTTGTAGCTCATGGCAGCGACTCGGAACACCGCGGCCACCCTGTGATTGGTGCGATGGAGGGAATATTTTTTGATTCAGGCATCCTCACATACCGAAACCAAGGTTGGGATGCCTGTCTATCATAAAAAGACATCCTGAAACCAAGGTGTGGATGCCTGACTATCATAAAAAGCCACAATCGACCCGTGCTTGGCTGTGAAAGTCTTCAAAACATCAAATAATTCCCAAAAATAGGTTTGAATACCCTTGAAAGGGTAAAAAATTCGCAAAAATCTTACGAGCCACGTAGCCAAGAACATGAAAGTGCGGCGTTGGTGTGCAGCTCATCATGGACCATCACATTCCTTCGCCACCGGCCCTTAC